CGTGTTCTTACCGGCATTGCACTCCTCACGAGGCGACGCGGGCGCCTGTCACGGGCTGGGTAGGCCAACCCGCCGATCAGCTGAGTGAAGCCGGGCGGCCCGCCCGCACTGTTATTCAAGGAATGTGACGTCACATTCGTTGAAAAACAGTGCGGGGGGTGCCCGCGTGTGGGCGAGAGCGAGAGAACCCCCTCGCGTCACCCCGGGGGGCGCTCCTTGAGCTGGCACCTGTACCGCCCGAAGGGGTCGGGGGAGCGGGCGATTATATCTCGATTTGTTGCCGGGGGACGTCTAATTAATGCAATCGTACCCTAACTAATATGGGTTAGTGGTTTCGTTCCGACCCGTATCCCTTCTGACCGTGCGGGTCGCGGTCGCGGTGCCGGGTGCGACCAACTTACTTTCGACCGCACTGTTAAAACCTTTCGAAACAAAATGCTAAATCCTCCGTAGTTTGGAAGGGTTTTGCTTTGTAACTGCAAAGCGGTGCGTCGCAATGGCGAAGGATTTGGAATTTTGCTTTCGCAAAGGTTGTAACTGTGCGATCATTGTGTCGTGTGCCCCCTCCAGATCAACTCGCTGGGCGCGAAGGCGAGCGGCAAGCCCGTCGTGCAGGTGTACTGCTGCAGCTGCGGAGACGCCGAGCGGCCCGAGCGAAGCAAGAAGAGGAGGAGGAAGAAGGCAGGCGGCGGCGGCGGCGGCGGCGGCGGCGGCGGGCGGGAGCACGGGGCTGACGCGCACCCGCAGCGGTCCGCGCGCCACCGACAGCACTTCAGGGGCGCGAGGAGCTTCAGCTCCACCAGGATGAGCGTGTCAAGTAAGCCATATGCCGCCTCATATGTTGACTCGACTTTGGCGTGCCGCTGCTGGAAATCAGGAGAACGGTGCCGAATCAGAAAAGTGGTTTCTGTGGTGCGAGCTGTCCCGCTTGCCGCGCTTTTCAGCTCCCCCGTTTTCCTGCTGGCGAACTTGACAATCTTTCGGCGATGTGAGAGGTTCCATGTGACGTTGTTACGACTCGCCTCCTGGTTGGTCTCTTTGCGCTTGTTATTTGCAAAAAAGAGGGACTGATACTACTCGAGTAAGAGACCATTTTTGTGCGGGCCTCTTTGCGCGTATGCATGCATGTTCGCAACTAGTGTGATGCTAAGCACATCCCGGCGCTCTTTGAGTACGTCTTGCAGTGGAAGGCTCAGCAGCGCCGTCGTTGTACGATTTACGTGAAAGGCGTCGGCAGAGCAAAGATGGCGAGGAGGTGGTTGCGGTGATGTCCTTGTAAAGGGTTTTGGCCCGTTTTGGCCCCATACCATCATGTCTAACAGCCCTCTTGTGAATGAATGAAATGCTGCTGCGTGTTATTGCTCTGTGGGTGCAGCAGTCAGTGAAACCTTTCCTTCAGAAGATGGGGTGTGGTGTGTATGGGGGAAGGCGTACTGTCGGATTTTGAATTGAAAGGCGAGGTGAGGTGTGTTCTGTATGAAGCGCCTGCTGGGTGGGCAGCGCTGTACTCGGCCGTTGAGTTGGTTGCCTATGCGCCGCTGGGCAGGGGCTACAAAGGAGATGACCTTGGGGGAAAAGACGGCCGCACCCAGCCATTCTGCTTCCTCCCGTGTGTCCACACAGACCTATATGGCAGAAGACTGTCTTCTCTCCACATTGCTCGCTGCTCTATCAATCCGCCTCCAATGCGAGTTCGACAAATATTGTCTTTGTAAACGTCTCTCTTCTCTCTCCTTGCACTCAAGAGCATCGAATACTTACTTGCGTCATTCCAGCTCGCACGATCAACAATATCATGGTGTGTGGTTTTTCCAAGCGCGAAGACCCGTGAAGGCTCGGCGCTCCTCTATTTGGGAAATGGACTGTGTGTGTAGCGGGAGCCCTTCCGGTCAATGACAACGATAACAATCATGGTGTTCTTCGCCGCGGGCAGACACGATGATGGCGTCCCATTCCCATCAGGGCAACGAACAGCGGCAGGGGAAGCTGAAACAACCTGAAAGACGACGCTGTTTCCGGCAGTGTAGGGAGGCACTCGCGGGAACTATGTACCAGGTGTAACTGAGAATACGCAGCAGTGTTGCGGGTTTGCCTACCAAATTCGCCCGTAAGGCGCCATGGCCCCTGCAGCCCTGGTGGGCATGCAATCCCGCAACACTGCTGCGCATTCACAGTTACACCCGGTACTCACAGGTGGAAATGAGATCGAAAGGGTTGAGCTTCGATTTTAGAAGATCGATTGGTTTGAACGGGTCACCCTTAAGCCCTTAACTATGGTTTAGACTGAAATTACTTCGAAATAAAATTACGGGATGGATGTAACCGTGGTCTTTGGTGCGCTTTGGTGCGGATATCGAGAGAATAACAGCAACGATGTCAGTATTTGTCACCTACTAAAATGAACGGCACTGATTTGATTTTATCTGTTTTCGGTACAGGTGGCGGTGGTACTTTCTACAACCGGTCTCCTTACGCATCACCTCGAACCTCACGGATGCAGACGGCAGCGAATTCCAAGCGAAAAGACAAATAAGAAAAACGACGACGACAAGATTCTAAAATGTACTGTTCAAATAAAGTCATACCTGTGCTTCCATCTCTAATCTCTCTTATTCTAGTAGAACAGCGATTTATTAGGCGCTGTCGGAGAGTCGGGATGTGCCCATAATTTCTAGCAACGTTTAATTTTTCAATACACAAACAGAGACATTAGGTTTGGCACTTGCGCCGTTAATGTCACTTCAGGAATTGAAGCCCGAACAACGAAGCCAAGAATAAGATTGTTTTATAAATATTGTTTTATTAATGTAAAATGTAGAATGGGGGAAATACGGAATATCACTATCACAGGCAAATAAATGTTACGAAAGCGACGCAAGCTACCGGAGGCGCCTAGTAGTCGGTAGTCGTTCTGACGTAGACGACGCCGGAAGGCATGGACACCTTTTCGACGCCCTTTGGGAAGAGCTTGGGGATGTCGGTTTCCTTGACGCTGGGAAGTATCATGACCTTGGTGCCCGGGGTCCAATTGGCAGGCGTGGCCACGTACGGCAGGCGGGTTGTCAGCTGCAGGGAGTCGAGGCAGCGCAGGATCTCGCTGTAAGAAGGAAGAGCGGGTTTGAGAAGCAAGTCGAGCATGTGCGGCGGCTCTGCCCTCGGCACTGCCCTGTTGTTGGGCTAGGATTTGGTTCACACGCTTACTCGACGTTCCTGCCGGTGGACATGGGGTAGTGCATGGCCAGCTTGAGCTTGTGGTCCGGGCCGACGATGTAGAGTGCGCGCACGGTGAGGGCGGTCTCGGGGTCGTCCTTGTGGTCCTCGTCGATCATGTCGAGCTGCACGGCCAGCTCTCGGGTCTCGTCACCGATGATGGGGTAGGGGAAGTCGCCGGGAATGTCGAGGCAGTACGACTTGATGTCGTTGACCCAGTCCTTGTGCGACTGCAGACTGTCGCACGAGTGAGCCAGCAGTTTGGTGTTGCGCTTCTGGAACTCGGGGAAGTGGACGGCGATGCGGCCCAGCTCCGTGGTGCACACGGGCGTGAAGTCGGACGGGTGCGAGAACAGCACCACCCACCTGTAGCAGAACAGACCAAACCGTCAGAACAAGACGTAGCGCCTGCTTGATCATGGCTCTGGTGCCAGCTGCCGACTGCCGAGCCCAACTCACGGTCGCGTGCAAGGGTAAAAAGGTGTTGAACAACTTACGATTCTCCTTGCCACCGATAGAAGTCGATTGGCCCTTGGGTTGTCTGAGCCGTAAAGTTGGGGATGACCTGGCCGATCCTCATGTTGAGTGTGTTTGGTCTCGTCGACGCTGGCACGCAGGGTAAAGCTCGAAGTGGGACTGATGTTCCGGCCAGATCTGGCCAGCGTCTTATACCCAGCCAGGGCCGGATAAGGCTGTCCGGGCTACGTCAGCAACGACCTCGCGACCAGAACGAGCCGCGCGCCGCGCGCAGTGGAAAGCGCCAGCCCGGCCGGCCAGATCTGGTTCTCCCCTCCAACATACAGATATCACAATGAAATGCGCCGCTCGCCAGATCTGGGATCAAAGTCGAAGGTTGGCGTGCACGAGTTGTCGTGTGCGGTTGCCGTGGGCGGGTTTTATCCCATGAAGCACTCTAGATAACGGGTACTGTACATTTTACGGAGACAGTTTTCCAAATCGTGTTTTCGAATTTAACAGATCGGTAAATGTGAATCACTGTTTGCTGTTTGGATTTTGAAGTAAAGCTACAAATACCTCAGTAACGAACAGACAACTAATCAGACAAAAAAACAATGAGAGAGCGTCTGCTTCCTAGGGAAATGCAGCTTCATCCGAACCAAAACTCTCGGCCCTTATTCTGATATCTACTCCCCGGCGGAGCAAACTTTTTTTATCGATTGTTGTCTCCCGTTAGGCAGGTCCAAGCTCATAACTATAACCGTGAGGGGCGAGCTGGCAGCCGAGCGTGTTGAAGCGTGCTCGTTTGGCAGAGGGGCAGAGCGTGGGGATGGTCGGTAGTTCGAATCCCGTCCGCGATCATTTTTCCTGCTCTGTTGGCCAAGTGTCTTCGACGTCCCTCTTTGTGGCCACAAAATTGTGGCCACATACGTCCCTATTTGTAGCCACAATGCCGGCGGCCAGAGTCAGCTTAATACGGCCCTACTATAGAACATCCTTTTTGGGTACTATGAAATCCGAAGCCTTCACAGTGTAAGCAGAAGGCAAGGACCTGTTCTGCACATAATCCCTGACAATCCGAAAAGCCCTGGACCTGGACACATCTAAACTCACACAATGGGGTCCGGGGACCCCCCAAACCACTGGAGGTCCCTGTTTGTAGCTACACGATTGTAGCTACAGCCTACAGTGCCCGAGTCAGCTCGAACTGAACCGTCCCAGAGAACACGGTTTTGTCAAAATGATATCAAGTGATGTCAGTGTCAAAATTTAGCCATTTCGGTGGCCTGATTTGACAACAATTTGACATCACATCATGTGATATCAAAATGACGTCGAATCAGGCCACCAAAATGACAAAATTTTGACACTGGCATCACTTGATGTCATTTTGACTAAACTGTGTTCTCTGGGGTCTAAAGGCGAATTCATTACATCCGCCAATGCTAGAATATCAACCAGAAGTAAACAGCGCTAAGAACTAAAGCGAAAGATATCAATGCCTGTAGACACGTCCCGGTTCATGTACTACGCAAAAGTGTGGTCACAAATGGGGCAACATACGATGTCCGACACCACACGCCCCTTTTTTGTAGTTAAACAATTGTAGCTACAGGCGACATGACCGCTTTCAGCTTCATCCGAACCAAAATTGTCGGCCCTAAGATCAACTCTGGGGCGGGGCAAATTTTTCTTTGTCGCTTTTTGTCTCAGGCAGGACCGAGCTCAGACCTCGGCTCCGGAGGCGCAAGCAGGTAGCCGATCGTGTTAAAGCGTGATCGGTGGCAGATCGCGGGGATGGTCGATAGTTCGAATCCCGCGTCCGCGATCAATTTTCCTGCTCTGCTGGAGAAGTGTGTTCGAGCGTCAGTCACAGCTGAGATCTGAATGCCGCCGAAAGTTGTGATCTGTATCGTTCCGTCGTGGCCAAGTCGGTAGCGTCCGGGCCCAGGACGAACCTGGTCGCTGGTTCGACTCGGCCTTGCGATATTTTTCGCGCTCCGCTGGCCATGACTTTACAGCCCTGCCACACCTGATGTGATGGCCCGGTACGCAAACAGTCGCTGGTTCGAATCTAGTCCACAGACCCCCACCCCCTCCGCCAGATGTTTCGGGGTCATGTGAGCCAAAGCGAAGATCAGCTTCAGCCATGCAAAAGCCTCATTGGCTCAGTTAGTAGGGCGCGCGCCCGGGACGTGGATAGTTGTCGGTTCGAATGCTGACAGAGTCTCACTTTTTCCTATTTATTAGTTTGCGGCGTGGGGACTAAGGGTTAGGACAGAAGACCCGCCGACATGGGTAGGTAGACTGACCGCCTACTCAGCACCCCGCCCCCCCCTCTTCTGCAAAAAAAAAAATGTTCGCCCGACCAGGACTCGAACCCTGGTCCGAGAGTCATTTGTCCACCACGCCCCAGCGCGCTCGCCGCTCGGCTGTCGGCTCCACTTGTCAGCGAGGAGTTCAGAACTCGGTCCTGTTTTACGAGTCTTGGGCCCCGGAATGCACGCGTTCAGGTCGGGTCAAGTCCACCTCCTCGACGCGCTGCAGCCCGGGTCGACTACTGGCTAGAAACAAGGAAAATGGACAGTAAATGAGCCCCCCGGGCGCGCGGAGGTTAGGTTAGGTTCCATTTACTGGCTCTTTTCCGTGTTTCTGGCCAGATTTCGACCCGGGCTGCAGCGCGTCGAGGAGGTGGACTTGACCCGACCTGAACGCGTGCAATAGGGCAGCTAGACACCCGTAAAGAAGGGCCGAGTTCTGACATTCCCGTCCACTGAAGCAGGCGACAGCTGAGTGGCGAGCGCGCTAGGGTGTGGTCCGGAAACCGTCGGGTCAGGGATCGAATCCTAGCCGCGGTACTTTTTTCCCGCTCTGATGAATTGCTCTCGGCGACATATGTGCATCTCGGCGGTCGCTGACTCCCGAAGACATGATCAACAGAGCGGGAAAAAAGTACCGTGGCTGGGATTCGATCCCTGACCCTACCCGACCACACGTCAGCTCGCTCGCCGCTCGGCTGTCGGCTCCACTTGTCAACGGAGAGTTCAGAACTCGGTCCTGCTTTACGAGTCTTGGTCTCCCGGATCAAGTCCACCTCCTCGACGCGAAACCGTAGGGTCAGGGATCGAATCCCAGCCATTGTACTTTTTCCCGCTCTGTTGATCATTTGTTGCTCAATTTTGGTGTCTATGATTTTACATGGAGAGCGTCACCAGATAGTGGTCATGCCGCGAGCAACGTGTTAAGGAGTGGCGCTAATGACGCTTGTGCACTCAGGGTCCGTCGAAACTCCGGCAGGCTGGGTGCGACCGTGCACCTCCTTCACTGGTTTTTGTCATTGTATGGGTGAGTGTTCTGATAAAAAGTAATGTTAGATTTAAATTTTCTTCATTTATTGAAAAGAAAAATTAAGTTGGCATTTTCACATCTCATCTCAATACAGTCTTGATTTGATTGTTAGTGATCCTTCCCAAAGTGTAACATTTGGATTTTAAGAATGGTTTATTTAACAACAAAATTATTATGATTTCCATCCATTTAGATGTATATTTCCAAGTGAGAAGATACAAGGAGGTGGTAATGACCTAACACAGCACTTTATGCCAAAACAATGTACAGATAACCCTAGTCATAACTTTGAGCATAAATCCTTGTCTTAATTAAGATGGAGTACATACATTATTTTGAATCTAAAATATTGAGTCATGATAATATAGGTATAGATCTGAATTTACTAAAAGGTTATGAACACAAACTGATAGAAAAATAAATTCCTTATAACTTACAAATGGTCATGGTGATGTCCCATTTGCTATGGGACAGTCTGGATAACCCAGAATAAACCAGTTTTTTTCCATGCACTTACATTAATGCTGCAATAAAATCCAACAATGAGTATCTGTCTTACAGCTTTGGTTTGTATAGAAAAAAACAAAATAAAACTACTTGCACATGAAAAAGATAAGACTTCTAACTGGAAGAGACACTCTTAGCAGTAAACCAAAGACTGGGGATTGGCACATATCTGATATACACCCTCTAACTAAAGTCCACACAAAATATAAAAATGAGAGCAATTTTTTCTCATACTGTTTGTTTTATTTTTTTAAATCAGGGGAGATTGCAATGTGATGTCAAAAGTGCATAGATATTTAATATTTATGTCTAGTCAGGTTTTAGTAGAAATCACAGTAAAATGGAGAAAACAAAACACTGCACTATGTTTTACAAATTACAACAGCAAAGTACGTATACTTCAGTGGTCATTATTTAAGTACACCCTTAATCACAAATTTATTCCTACAGGAGGGCTTCATGTACAGCTCAAATATTCAAAATTTAAGAAAACTAACCAATAATTCAAAAAGAATTAAAATATTACACTCTTGACTAACTCTCACGCTAGATGACCAAATTCAGTACTTACAAATTACAAACTATTACACTCAACTACAACTACTTCACTTATCACACTTAAGCACATTTGTTTATACATTACCAAGTTACCTATCTAACAGCATCACTGAATATTCAGTAATGCCTATCACATTATTAAAGGCAGTGCCTCAGAGAAAAGTAAGAGAAAATCTCACTTATGAGATCAAAACTGTTGTCCTTACATTAAAATAGTAACTAACAAAGGAAATTTCACCACCAAGAAACAGAGCCATCTTATTCTGGAATACACCAGTCAATAGATTCACACTAACTCAAAAGAATATTTTATTTTTATTTTATTTTGTTTTTGAAGGGGCGGGGGTACTGAAGCAGTTTTAAATAACATTCAGTCACTGCTCTAAACTGAACATAAATGCATTTACCTAGAATATCAACAATGCATGATAGCAGTTGTATTAGTACTTAATGCTTATTATAAAGAGCACGTGCTTTTTCAGTCACCTTCCGTACACGACCCCTACTGCTTACTGTTGTTATTGGCTCTTCCTCAGACTCTTCCTCTACATAGTTGGGTTTTGAGGATTTCCTTCTACGGCTTGATGACTTGTTCTGCCCATAATCCTCATCACTACTAGCATAGTCTTGCATGGGACGTCTGTTTCTGGTAGCCGATCTCACAGGCCTTTTTGATTGTTTCCCAGTGAGGCTAGACTTTTTCGGTACATCAGAGTCTTCACTGTCAGATTCATTGTAGTTAAAGCTTGTACGGCCACCTCTGCTTGATCTGCCTTTTGCATTGCTTTGTGCTGAACGTCCGATGTCATCATCTTCCTCCTCCTCCTCGTTCTCTTTGTCATCATCATAGTCTGAGTTTTCACTATTGTCAGTTTTATTGCTAATAGCTTTACTTCCTTCCTCCTCCTCCTCCTCCTCCTCCTCTTCGCTCCCATCTTCATCCTCATCACTGTTTCTCTCTAATCCAAATGAATTGCTCTTACTTCGGGTGGCACGGCTTGATTTAGAAGGGGGTGCATGTAGGTCGAGACTCTCATCACTCTCATCACTATCCGCAGTTTCTTCAGCATCATCATCACTGCTATTGCTTGAAGTATCACTGGCACTATCGCTTTCATCTTTAACTTTTTTAATGACTCTACTGTTAACACTAGATCTTTTCTTGTGCTTTACATTTTCTTCATCAGTCTCACTCCCGTTATCACTGTCTTTGTCATCATCTAGTGAATTGTTTCTCCCATTGTGTTGTCGCTTGGGACGGCCAGTTGCCCTCCCTTTTCCCTTACCCCTTCCGTTTGTGCTAAGTCCGTTCGCAGAACGGGTACTTGGTTTATACACAGAAGCTTCAGTGTCTTCGCTATCATTGAAAGACGTCCTTGAGTTTGAATTAGAGACATTTTTTCGAGTTACGACCGTTTTCCTTTTTTTGCTAGATTTGGGCTGAGAATCGTAACTATTGTCACTTTCATACTGTTTGCGCTTAATACCAGAAGACCTTGCAGCCCGTGCAGGAGCAACTTCATCTTCATCATCCTCATCCTCCGATTCATGTGACTGCAATGGGTTTGCCTTTTTTGCAGTACCTCTACATGTTCTTCTGAAGTTATTACCATTTGAGACGCCTAGGATGCAAGAAAGATCAATCGAGTTAAAATAACATTTTTTAGAGGATAAATAATAGTGGACAGTACATCTAGTGAATGAAAATCAGACATTATCTTCCTACCATTGACTCTGGAAACACGGGTGCTAGGACCAGGTGCATTAATATCATCTTCCTCCTCATCCTGTTCACACTCATTGTTTTCATCATCTTCATCATCATGGTCATTTTCAAAGACTCCATCAGCATTTTCTTTCTGTTTTAGCTGAGCAGCACTACTACTACTTGGGTGACTACTTGCTCGACTTGTTGGACGAGTATCCTCTCCACCTACAAGTCATAAAGAAATATGTTACCTCACATGCATTTTTCAGGACATACATAGGGTGAATAACTTTCTTACCACTGGCATCCGTTCCACTCATGGCTATCATGGCAATGCGCTTCTTTCCTTTAAGCAGAGACATTTTTGAACGAATCTGCGCCATCTTATAATCCTGAATAATTGTTTTCATGTGATCCTCAAACAGAGATGAGAGCCTGCATGTCATGGCATAGATCTGAAAAGATACACAATTAATGAGTAACCTTACAATGAAAAATAAACAAA